ACTGTCTACGCTTTCTGAATAACACCAACAACCCAAAATAGGGAATGGTTCTCTTCGGTAGGAAAACTTCCTGTATCCAAGGATTATTAGCAACACCAAAAAAAAAAAAAAAAAAAATTGATGGAAAACTTAACCGTCAACCAAGGGTCAACCAAGGTCATCCAAGGTCAGCCAAGTTGACCTGCTTTTTCTTCATTTCCATTGGATGAACCTCTTTTCACATCTATGAACTAATGACGTTCGTAACGAAAGTTCAGAGGGTCATAAATTCTATCTGTCTCTCGCACACATGTCCCCATACATGTAAGGCTGATTTCAAAGTGCGCTGCTCGGCTGGTGACATTTTTTCAGTGTCACCACCCCTTCTTTGGGGTTCGTCGTTTTGGGGTGCCGAAGGAAAGAGTGGGACTCACGGGTTTTCAGGCTGAACCTGCAAAAACTGAGGCAAGAGCCGGCAGTCCCGGAAGGCGAGTATGTATCTGTCTTCTAGATCCTTCTCCAGGGTGAGCTGGACCAGTATGTCCACCTTCACATTGAAGGTGAGCGAGCTGCGGGGGGCGGGGGCAGGGCAGAGCTGAGGCTGGGGGAGAGAACCCCAGAGCCTACCAGGCCCCCCTTTGTTCCTACGCACGGCCCCAGGTTTGCTCAGAGCCTCCCGAGTGCCCCAGAGAGATCATCTCGTTTAAAAGGCGGCTGGGGAACAAGCCCAGCTCTTCCCAAGCCCTGCAGCTGGGTCAGACGGGCTGCCCGCAGGACAGATGATTGACACCTGTGCCTCGGGCTCTGGGGACAGAAAGGAAAAGCTCAGTTCTGGGTGTGACATCATATGAAACCGAGAGACTGTCTGAGCTTGGAAAGAATCTTCTGGAAGACTCTGAAAACACGCTGTGCAGACTAAATATCTGAGGGCCACACACAGGCCCCCGGGGTGACCCCAGGCAAAGGTGCCAAAGGGCGTTGGGGTCAAGAGCAGATTGGATTGGAGCTGAGAGGACTCGTGAAGTCTGAATCTCTCTCTCCAGCCCTTCTCCCCCAGAAGGTCCCCAGTGGGAAGCACTCAAGTGACCTTTGTAGTCCCCAGTCTGCTGTCTGCGGGGGACCCAGGCCCAGAGAGGGCCGGTGTGGACCAAGGCTCTCCCAGGGACATCCTCTGGCTCTGCCTGCCTCCCACCTTCCCACGCCCCCTGCACAAGCCACTGGAGCTGGGGACCCACAGCTGTCACTTACTTGATCACCACACTAAACAACAGCGGGACCCTCAGGTAGGCCTTGTTGCTGGCAGCGCTGACCTCGAGGGAGACTTGGAGGAGCTGAGTGTCCTTGACCTGCATCCTGGGGGAGGAAACAGCCCCGTGGGGAGGCTGGGACTTCAGGTGTGGGAGGACCTCGCCTGGGGCCAAGGCAGGTCCTGGACAGAGCCATGGCTGCCCTTGTGCAAAGGTGGCCCTCACCCTTGACCAGGTGACCTGTTTCGCTAGGCACTCCTGGCGCAGGGAGTCCAGGCCTGAGGGAGACGAAGCGCTGGCCTGAGAGCGTCTCCCTGACCGTGTCCTGTCCTGGTCCAGCCCCCTCAGCTGGGACCCCTGGGCTAGTGACAGGGAGCCCCTAGCCGTAGAGGGGTGAGTGACAGGGAAGAGAATAACTGGCCAGTGAGTCACGCTGCCCTGTCAGGCATAGTGCTGTGGGCAGAGGGCCCACGGGGTCAAGAGAGGGAGGGTGACATCAGGAAGAGCAGCACTATAGATGGGTGGCCAGGGAAAGGACATTTGGGTGGAGTCATGAAGTGGGGGTACAGGTCACGTGGACAGCCAGGGAAGGAAGGGCCAGGCGGAAGGTGGGGCAGGTGCAGGCTGAGCCTAAAACATGGCTGGAGCCGGGGGACAGCAAGGGACTCAGGGGACAGTGAGGAGAAGAGGTCAGAGGGGCGTCCAGGGCCAGACTGCGTGGGCCTTGGGCCAATCCTAGGGACTTTAGGCTTGCTTGAGGAGCACTAGTGGGTGGGACAGGGAGGCAGGCCCTGGCCGACATCTGAGCTCAGCTCCTGTACAGGACGGCAGGCCCAGGACAGGAGGTGAGGCAGCCTCAGAGGAAAGGAGGTGGGGACAACGATCAGATGTTTCAGAGTCCCCCGGGCAGAGCTGACGGGGAGAGGCGCTTGGAGGGGCAGGCTGGTGGGGACCGGGAGAGTGGGACTGGCTGCTGACGTGTGGAATCTGAAATGCCTGGGGGACAGGGGCCCAGGTCTCCGCGTCGCTGTGGCCGACCTGAGCCCAGGATTGCTGGGCCTCATCCCCTGTTATCACGTCATCAGTGCTGCTGTTCTGTCACCGCTGGCTGGGGACTCACCCGGGACAGGGGCGGCCATTGTCTCACATATCATTTCATTTAAAGTTCAGCGCCGCCTGTGGGGGTCGCTGCTGTTAATGCTACTTAATAGGAGCAGAAGTTGGGGTGCAGGGAGGGGAGGAGCTTGGAGGGGTCGCACAGGGGGTCAGGGGACAGAAGCCTGTGTCTCCTTCTGTCCTTCACTCCAGCCTCCTGCCTCGTCCTGGGGGAGAGTTGCTCACAATGGGGTCCAGGCCACCAGGCTCTAAGTGAGGGTCGGCAGGGTCAGCACCCGCCCCGAAAAACCCACAGACTGGGACCCTGGGATGCAGGCAGCCTCCGAGACCACTCACTCCAAATCCCCGTTGGCTCTGAAGAGCAGACCAACCAGCAGGTCCTGGGGGCTGACGTTCCTGTAGAAGGCCCCGTTCAGCCACTTTTGGAAGCTGGTGGAGCCCGCGGTGGCCAGGAAGCCGGCGCTGAGGAGTCTTTGAGTTACTTCTGCAAACAAGCAAATAAGCAAACGAAGGGGCCCATTTATTTACTTATTTGCTTGTTTGCAGAAGTAACTCATCTTTCTGGCCTCGGAGGGCTGTGTCCAGGTCCACTCCGTCAGCCTGCAGGCATCGGAAGAGGCCCACACGTCCCTGAGCCCTGTCCTGAGCTGGGACGCACCAGGGAACACTCTGTGGAACTGTCATTCCAGCCAGGGACGAGGGGACACAGGTGATCCCGCAGTGGGCACAGAGACAAGCAGGGTCCAGCTAGCGCTGGGAGGGGGCCGCCAGCTCAGCTCGGGGGAGGATGGTCTCAAAAGCACATGGGCTACAGTCTGGTGGCCATGTCCTGGTCCCCAGGTGCCAGGCATAAACTCTCCAGGTTTGGGGTTGGGAGGAAGCTGGCATTCTCCGGGGAAGGCTGGGAGGGTGGGCTGCCGAGGAGCAGCCACCTGGGAGCCTCTGAGTGTGGGCTATTCCAGAATAGGACAGAACAACCAGACCCGAAGACAGCTGATTGTCAGTCCAGCCTTTCAAGGGACAAACAAATGACAGGGTGAGGAATTGAGAGTACCACATGAGGACCGCAGTTCATGCAGGCAGGTCCAAGAAGGCTTTTCTGAAAAGGCAACATTTGAGCAGAGACGTGACAGAAGGGAGGCAGCCACATTCTAAGGCAGGTTGTAGGAGAAGAGTGCTCCGGGCAGGGGTGTGCTTAATGCGTTGCAGAGGGACTGGGGCAGGGTGGAGGGGTAAGGTAAGGTGGTAGGAGAGTCGGGCAGGACTCTTCCTTGCAGGGCTGGGCCATGGTTTTGATAGATAAGCTAGGACGAGGAGACAGGGAAGGGGGCCTCTTTGGAAAAGTGGATTAAATGTAGTGGTGACCAGGATGCCGAGGATGGGTGGAGCTCACGGCAGCCCGGGCACTGTGCCAGAGACGGGCATCTGTCCCTGGACTGGACTTCAAGGAGAGGCTGCAGGTCTGGGCAGCCCAGGCACCACCCCAGGACGGGCTTTCTCACCATTGAGGAGCTGCTGGGCTCCCAGGGAGCCGAGGAGCCCGCAGAGGAGCACGAGGCCGGCGGAGACCTTCAGCATCTCAGTTCAGGGGCCTGCGGGGGCAGGGAGAGAGTCGTGGGGTCCCCCAAGAAGGGGTGCCCAGAGCTGGGGGCTGAGGGCGCCCCAGAACACAAGTGGACCCATTTCACAGATACCCGTTCACAGACGCCTTTCCTCATGGTAGAGGCCAGAGGGGACAGCGGGAGCAAAGAGTCCCAGCCCAAGGCCACAGAACCAGAGCTGTGCCAGGCCCTGGGCACGCAGCTTCTCCTACAGTAGGCGGCCTTGCCTGGCAGGGCCGCGTGACCTGGCTCAGGAGAAGGGGCTCTGACCCACGTCTTGCCCAGCACCGCTGGAGCCTCCAAGCAGGACAACTCTTCACTGCACTGTTGGTGGCCCTGGCCTCAGAGGCAGATGGCAGAGACAGTCCCAGCCCTGCTACCTACTTGTGGGAGAAACCTGGGCAATGCAGACTCCTGGAGCCGCGGTTTCCTCATCTGGCAAAGCGCAGGTGCGCATCCGGCCCTGGCTCTCAGCCTCCGCTAAGCACCTAGCACAGCACCTAGCACAGCACCCTCGCGTGTGGTACTCCCCAGAGGGCTGCAGAGTGCTGGGAGCCCTGTGGTCCCGATGAGAGTCATTGGTGATTTCTGGGATTTGGTGGGATTCCGAGTAGTCATGGCAGCCTGGAGTCGGCCAGGGTCAAGGCCGTGAACACCTGGTTAAAGGGAGCGCACCCTGCCCTGGGGTCGGTCCCCAGAACCTGGACACCACCCCTCACCTCTCAGTGCTCAAGACTCCATAAAGGTGTCCTTGGTGTCATTAACTGGGACTTCAACCCAATGGCCCTGTAAATGGCTCCCCGTGGGAGCTGAGACCCCCAGGGAGCGGCTGAGGGGGGCTGATCCTCTTGAGGCACCTGACAAGTTCAGGGGACCCTGTGGGCCCCGCTCCTGGCCACTGTTCTCAGCAGTCATTTGATCAGCAGGAAGATGAAAGCCACCACCTGGGGGTAGCAGAGGGGAGAGGGGCAGGGTCCCCCGCTGCCTCTGGGCTTCTCCTAATTGAAGCCTGTCTCCTGTTCTGTGCTAGAACACAGTAGGCATTTTAGCAGGCCACAGGTACTAACAGATGGGTCTGGTTCCACGTCTGATTTAAGAAAAGGCGGTTGGAGAGCGCATCGTTGCCACGTTACCTGGATCTCGCAGGCCTCACGATGTCGCTGGCCTCGGTCCTTGCTTCCCAGTGGGCTCTACAGCGGGATGAGCCTTATAAATGGCGAGTGACCCCAGTGCTGGGAGACGTGGCACCGGGTGATGGACGGCTGGGAAGTGACGGGACGCCCTCCATCTCCCTGCGTCCATCCAACAGCTCCAAAGCAAACATTCCGCCCCGAGACCCGGGGCTGGGGAAGCAGGGATCACCAGCTCCCCCAGAGCAAACACTGCTGCAGAGAGGCGCGGGGCCTGGGGGGAACCTGGAGGGCGGGAGCCCCGGGAGGGCCGCGGGGAGGGGTCCTGCTGGCCGTGGTGGACCCAGGACTCGAATCCTGTTCTGCCTCCTGCCAAAGCCTGTGACCTTGATGCCACCAACTCCTCCTGGTGGGGGCGGGTGACTGTCACCATGAGGGCCAAGGGCTTCAAAAGGAAAGTCACCCGTGAAAAAGCTCATGACGCTTCCCATCGTTTGCTCCAGAGCTGGGGCTCCCCTCAAGCCCCCTAAAACCACAGGTGGGACTTAGCCTGAGGGTGGTGAGGGCACTGCTGTGGGAGGGACTGAGCCGTGACGTTCTGCCCCCGGGAACAGGGTGAAGGAAAGAGCCTTCACAGAGCTGCCTGCCCCTCTGCTGCCCCTCTGCTGTGCGGGGACACAGCATTTGTCCCTTTCCTGCCCTTGCCTGTCCTCTCCCATGGGACTACACCATGACCAGGCGTCATCTCAGCACCCGGAGCAGGCCCTTACCAAGCGCCCCATCAGCTGGACCTCGACCTTGACCTTCGCAGCCTGCGGAACTGGGAGAAGCAAAGTCTGCTGTCTGAGCCACCCAGGGCAAGGCGCTCGGTGACAGCAGGAACAGCCCGAGACGCAGGCACTTCAGGCGCTCCAACAGCGCATGTGGATAAGGCTCATGGCAAAATATAGACACATACCAGAAAACGAGGTCCCTGAAGACTTCCTTCAGTGTGACCAGATACAGACATGACCCAGAGACTGGTCACTAGCCATTCTCTTGCAGAAGGTCCCTGGGACAGATAACCAAGCAGTGCACTTTCTCACCTGCCACATTCATCACCCACCATTCTGGGTGGATGAATTCCATTCAGACTGGACTGTCCCACAGAAGCCCAGCTGCGGGGACGGTGACCTGCTGATCTCTAGCCACTCATCCCAAAGGCAGCCCAAGTCTCCTGCGCCAGCCTCTTACCTCCCTGATGTACCCTCTCCCTCCTGCCCCAGGGCCTTTGATCGAGCTGCTCTTAGGGCTGGCCTGGAAGACAGCAATTGCCCCACGTCGCTGTGTTCAAAGAATGGACGCAAGAAAGGCCCATTGTTTGAGGCTTTGCTCTAATCTTGTTACTGACGGAAAACCTAAACGATCCTCTAGCTCCACTTGCTTTTAAGTGATTTTGCTAAGGTGCGATTCCAAAATTCCAACTAAAACTCGGGGTCTTTTTGAAGAAGACAAGGGATTTATTCCGGCCAAGGCCACGGGAGCAGAAAGCAGGCAGTTCTGCTGCCCAAGACAGAGTGAGGCGAAGAATCAGCTTTAAGAACAAGAAAACACAAAGTGGGGGCAGGGGAGAGGCAGATCCTAAGACACATGTCACTCGGTGTGGAGCGCCGAGTTCTCAGAATGGCACCTCCCTGCCCACTCAGGAAGTACGTGGGCACCAGCTTCATAGTTTAAAACACTGTGGTCAGGGGGCAGGGTGTCAGCTGCGCTGCGAGTGGGCTCTCGAAGGAAGGGGCCAGCTCCCTGCGCAGGGTCGTGTCTGAGCAGAAGGGGTCAGCCCGTGACAATCTGAGTCACCCCTTTTGGAGGCCACACAGCATATGGCTTCAGTGTAGAGGACGCCTCTGGCGAAGCCAACTCACACTCACCCTCTTGTCCATCCCATTATTTCCCCTGTTCCCCGGGTCGGGGGACAATGGCCTTCGCTGTCTCCCCTGTTCTGTGGTGAAAGATGCTTTTGTTTCCTCGTGATGAACTGCGGGCCCAGCTGCTCCCGAGAAAGGAACTGAAAGGACTTGAGTCCTGAGCTTTTTCACGGGTGACTTTCCTTCTGAAGCACAGAATCCAGGACATCCTCCGATGGCCGGACACCAGAAATTTGGGACTCCTCTGGCACCTGCCTATCTGACGGGTCTCCCCCAAATCCCAGAGACTCCTTGCACCTGTCACCCCTGAGGAGGGTGGCTTTCTAAGGACAGAGTCCCTTTTCCGCCTGCTGGCCCGTTGTCCCTGAGGCTCCTCCTCATCGTCCTGATGAGTGTGGCCCTAGAGGGGACTTCTGGGGTCACAGCCTCACCCTGCCAAGAAGCTGTGACAGGGCTGCCCCACTGGCCAGGGAAAGGGGCCACGCTCGGAGAAGGCCAGTAGCAGGGCCGCGGTCAACTAAGGGAGCCAACACCCCATCAGGCACAGACCCCGGGGCCCAGGCCACGCTCCTGACCTGTGCCTTCCCTGCCCGGCCATCTGGGTGGCGCTGGAACGCCACTGCACGGGCCACTTGAGAGCAGGGTCCCGCAGTCCCTAGAGCCCTGCCTGTGGTCCCCTTGCAGGACCAGGGCGAGGAGGCAGAGGCCGGGCAGAGGCCAGGCTCCAGGGAAAACGGGCCTCAGGCTGCAGCCCGAGGAGCTGCCTTAACAGACTCATTAGGTCACCGTGACGCTGGGAGGCGTCCAGAGAGTTCTCAGGTGCCCCCTGCCACGGGCTCCTGAGCCCCCCCTGCCAAGGTCCCACCCTGAGGGGCACGTCTGCCACCACCCCTGCGCCCACGTGGGCCCCATGGGCACCCCAAGTCCATGGTCATGGCCGGGCTCATTCTTGGTGCTGTGTGTTCTGTGGCTTTGGACAGATGTAAGGAAGCATGTGGTCACTACTGTATCAGGCCCGTGTCCTGTAGATCTCCCATGATGCTCCTGCTCATCCGCCTTTGCCTTGGCCACCACTGGTCTGGATTGTCACGGTCCCCACAGTGTTGCCAGTTCTGGAAGGTCGTGTGGCATGGGGTCCTCGGGCTGTCTTCTTCCACCTGGTCACAGTTCAGCGTCCTGGGGCCTCTCCTGGCTCGGGGCTCCTATCTTGGTGTCACTGACTAAGATTCCGGTGTCCAGATGTGCCACAGATTGTTTATCTGTCCACCCCCGAAGGCCACCTTGGCTGCTTCCAAGTCGTCCCCGTCATGAAGCTGCTGCTGCCAACATCCTGAGTGGCAGGGCTTCCGGCTCCTCTGGGTAAACACCAAGGAGTGACTGAGTGGCCGGAGGACGCTCGGGAAGTGTCCATCAAGCCGCGGCCTCCAGATGCACAGGTGGCCTCATGAGCCCGGGCCGCGGGCAGCCACGTGGACGGGGCAGGGGGTTGCTAACAGGAAACAAGGACAAATGTTGACTTTGCCTTCTGGCCTGGGAGAGGCGCCAGAGGGACTCACCTGTTCCCACTTTGGGAACAAAGAGACTCTTTCTCCTCCCTGCGGCTTGCTCCCTCCCGGGCAGAGCAGGACCCAGTGCAGCCTCTGGAGCCTGGTCGGGGCCTTGGGTGGCCCAGCATGACAGCCCCTCTCCTCCCCGAGAGGTCACCTTCTGCCCTGGTCTGCAGCCCGGCTCCCACCCCGACGGTCCCCCGGGTTGGACTTTTCTGGGCCTCTGCCTCCCTCCAGCCCCCTTCCCCACAGCCGCCAGAGGGGCTCCCTGAAACCAGAGCCGCGGGGTCTCCCCGCTCAGAGGCCTGCCTGGGCTCCCAGTGCTTAGACCAGAGTTCCTAATGGGTGACCTGGGGGCTGGGAGGGCTCCCCAAATCCTTTTTAGGGTTCTGTCGGGTGGAAATGAAGACTAAATGAAGACTGATACATTTGTCACCTTTTGCTTTCATCCCCACACTCCAGTGTGGAGCGAGTTTTCTAGGTACGACCTGGCAGGTGACGAGAGACAAAAGTCCCCTGAGAATCCAGCCCTCTTCAGTGACGCTGGTCCTTAGAGATTCTTTTTTTTAAATGTAAAACAGAGCCTTCCTCTCATCAGTGATGGCCCTGGGACACGAAGTCACTGTTGATAGGACTGGAAGGCGGTGGGTTCGCTGCCGTCCTAAGGTGACGACTTGTTTAAAGGTTTCCCGGTGTTAAGTCTTTCATGGCGGCCACTGATAGATGGGCCGTGTGTCCCAGAGCTCCCCGGGGCCTGGGTTTGAGAATGCGCTGAGAAGACGGACAGAGCCCTGGGCGCTGGGGCCTCCAGGACGGTTCAGGGCCTCCCGGGTGGGCCTCAGGGCTGGGCCTCCCCTCCTGGATCTGGCAATTCCTCCTTCTTCTCCTTCTCCCCCACCCCGCGCTGAGGGCCTCACGCAGGCCAGGCCAGCCCCCGACACCGAGCTCCCTCCCCAGCCTCCCAGTCCCTTGTGCTCCGGATGTCCCCTCTCCCTTCTCTGCTGGTCACCCTTCCAATTCCCACTCCATGATCACCTCCTCCAGGAAGCCCCCCACTGCCTCCCCCTCCAGGCTGGGGCGGAAGTCCCTCCTCGGATGTCTCAGAACTTCATTGTCTCTTGGTGATTCGTGACCCCATCCTGCACCGCAGGAGGCTGCGGCCCTTGGCGATGGTGGTGACAGATCCTGCCCCCTCTGCCCACCGTCCCTCGGGAGGCGCGCGTGCCCTGTGGGCTGGAACCACCTGCCACCCCAAAATGCCAGCACAGGGCCTGCCTCCGCTGGGGACAGAGCACCTTCCCACTTTGTGGAGTTGTGTTTCATTTTATTTAAGTGTCACCCCGAAGGAACACAGTTTTGGTCGAATTTCAGTATCCTGTCTCAAGTTTTTTTTTTTTTTTTGTACCAGGGATTGAACTCAGGGGCCCTCGACCACTAAGCCCCATCCTCAGCCCTATTCTGAATTTTATTTAGAGACAGGGTCTCACTGAGTTGCTTAGCACCTCGCTTTTGCTGAGGCTGCCTTTGAACTCAGGATCCCCCTGCCTCAGCCTCCTGAGCCACTGGGATGACAGATGGGAGCCACCACACTGGGCCCTTCTCCGGTTTTTTTAAAACCAACTTTTTGTTCCACTTTCAGCTATTTGCATACTTGTGA